AATCAAACACACTTAATTACAATTTCCAGTAAAACGTTTTTTAGGAAAATTTTTTCCCTATAAAATATTTTCTTTCCACCCATTTTCCACAATTGCAATCAAACGAACCCTAATTATAATTGGACACGATTTGTAATAAATATCTTCTAAATTGTTTTCCATGCAAATTATCCAAATCAATGACAAAATCGTCATGATCTTTTGAATAGTGATTTGAATTAAAACTACAGAAAAATATCACCATATATTTAGTTTTAGAAACAAACAAAGCTAAATTCCACTAGTGCGGATGCGATCTAAATAAAAATATCAAACCTAATTCGCTAAAGTCATATAAAATTGCATTTGGGTCCTTCAATTCCTAATTAATAATGGAAAGCACCTATTAGCAAATAATAACTAAGAAATATTTTTTAAAACTCCCAATTATTAAATAATAAATATTAGACAATATAAATAAATAATGAATGAAACAAAGTCGTGTTTAAGAGCATCTTCAGAATGCTTTTTAAATATAGACATTCTCTATTTTAAAAACTCAATCATTAAACATTGTAACATAATATATTAGTACAAAATGCTACATGTACAATGATGGTTGACAGTATTTGTTAATAATCATGATTTGACATCATTACATTCATCAATTTAAAAAAAAATCAAAAATGATTTTTTAAATCAATCATCCAGATTTTACCATATTAAACATTGTCAACGAATCTTGTCAACAATTATTGTGCAAGTAGATTAATTCATATTAGTATGGCTCAATTATGTGTTTTTTTTTTTTTTTGGCAAACAAAACACAATCAAATGGTAATATGGGTCATCCCCAGGTGTGGGCTCGAAACCTCAATCCTGCCATGCTTGGGTTTCACATGGAGCCCATCAATTAGTAAATTGATTCATACTCTTTCAACTTTTAATTGTATAATATACGTTCATCAATACAAATAATCAAATCATTGGTTGTGCGGTGGGAGAGCCTGAGGCCATCGATCTTTGCATAGGAAGTGGCGTAGGGACGGATGACTTGAGTAAGGGAACTTTCGGAAGTGGATTTGTTGAATTGTAGAAAAATATGGTTCATATTAGGGATTGAGTCAAAACTCTTTGAAGAAAAAGCTAGGATTATGAGGATTTGAATTCGGAATGCAATGGTGAAAATGAGTTGAAGAGAAAAATGATCCTATTGTAATTGAGATTTTGTCCAATTTGAGGCCCTTTCCGCGTTTACTTTTTTTCTTTAAGTAATTCAGTTTTTGATAATTCATTTTATTGCTTCATTCATTAAAGTAAGACAATAATATATTTACTAATTTTTGTAATTAATTAATTTATATTTAAAAGTTAAATTATTCAAATATATTTGGTAAATTAAGAATTTTATTATTTGTCATATTCCTTAGATAATCTTAATTGCCATATTTTATTAACTAATGAAATTTCGTGGAATTTTCCATTAAAAGTACTGAATTCTTAAAAAAAAATTAAATTAAAGATTAAACGGGGCAAGAAAGGGCGAGATGGATTTGACGAGTTTTTTTACTATCCCTAAAAATGACGATTTGCAAAAGGATGGCTTTGTTGATATAGTTGTTGAGATAAAATAAATAAATAATTTTGCAAATCCAGTTAGTGAATCCGCTGTTAAGGTCAACATAGGTTGAAACAGGGGCGGAGCCATGTACAGTCCAGTGTGGGCACAGGCCCACACTGAACTTTTGGGCTGGATTTTTTTTTTTAGTTATATGTTAAGTTCAGTCCAGCCAAAGAAGGAAGGGCAAATACACATACACAGGCCCAAGCGTCCTAACTCCTAGGCCCAGCCCAATAACAAAAACTGTAAACACCAATACACCATTTTTCCTCCTTCCCACCCGGCTGTTCCATTTCACTCCCTAAATCCCACCCCCTCAGCCCCTCTTCTCCATTTGTGCAGCCGCAACCAGCCTCCGAGACTTTGTACCTCTCGTAGAGCGACACGTTCACAGTGGACCAGTAGGTGTAGACCTTGAATCCATTGAATAGAAAAGGCGAGCCATCGAGGAGGAAATGAGAATCCCTCGCAGACTGCTCCAGTTCACTTCGCACCCGCCGCCTCCTCCGCCTCTGGCCTCCGCTCCTGCCCCGGGCCCTCCATTTCACTTCGCACCCACTTTTTAAAAGGTACAAAGTTATACGCTTTTACCCACTGTTGAAAATTGAAAATTGAATTGATTGGTTTTCTTGAATC